ATATAGTGAGATAGGAAAAAAAAAAGAGATTTGATCTGTGATCAAGTGGTTTAAAGCCCATTAAGAACAAACAACACCACAGTTTTATTTGCTTTGACATCGAAGAATTCTACCCCTCCATCAGCCAAGACCTCCCAAACGACAATTTGGTGTTAGATCAAGATAAAAACTTCAACCTGTTAGGTTAGAGCATTCTCGTTACCTTTCGAATAATAAATTTATTTTATGGAGAGAGGTTGCATACTAATCACTTCTCTTGAAACACCCACACGACACAGCAGGCATGGAAACTGGGAAACCTCTTAAACACAAAGGAACGCTATAAATGGGTTGGCTCCGCTCCTTGGTTTCCGCTCAAATGCAAATTGCGGCGTGGTAGTAATACGCAATAGCGGAGCGAATCATTTCGAGATTCAGTTACTGCCACAAATGAAGACAGTTTCGATTGGAGAAACGAGATATAAATCTCAGCAAATTCATCCATTGTGAGGTAGAAACTTGTCAGAGCTTATAAGAAATCCGCCTGCTGTTGACTCGCTTTGGACCTGCTGCAGCTCAAGCTGTTTTGAACACAGAGGTCTGTATGCCACTACGGTTGATTGATAAATGATCCAGAGGTACCTAAAATAATCTCTTTCAATGATATCCAAGAGGAGTGAAAGAATTTAGTCAGTATTTCAAGATGGAAGTCTCTGGTTTATCCACGAAATTATATCATTCATCACCAAAGTCGCATCTTCTTTGGGCTCGTTTAGAAGTTTGTGGTAAAAGCCTGGATAAATCTGCCGGAAAAAAAATTGAACAATACTGATAAAAAACCTCCAAATAATAGCATTAGGTGACTCGTAACTGCACGTAAAAATAGAAAGAAAAGCAGAAGAAAAATTTCCCCGTCTTGGAGTTGGTTTTGCTTATAACAAGAGAAACCGTCCCTTTCATAAGGCGAGCGTGGGAGCAGGGAGCGGGGAGTGGGGTGTGAGTTGGAGAGGGGTGGGTCTTTTCTGATTGTGCTCGAAAAATACTGGAAAGTTGCCCACTGGAATGCTAAACTGTCGTTATAAAATTGCCAAATATCCAAAAAGTTGCTAACTAAATGTCAAAGGTTACTACCCGAATTTCTTGATATTTTGATGTAAACGTTAATTAAAAGCTTTATTTTTCTTTATTCACAGCAATAGCTAACATGGGTTCGTTTAAGAGTCTGCTTTTATGAGTGAATATCTCAGAAAGACAAATTTCACATCCTAAAATGATGTTTACCAGCGAAAAAACTCCTTAGCAACACCAAAAACTTACTGACTTTGCTAACTTCTCCAACATTCGTTGAGCACACAAAGAATCGGTCAATTATTATTTTGGGTGGGGCATTTGGACGCAGTTTTTGCGGGGGGGGGGCTGGGGAAAATTTAACCAAACCAATCTTCAAAAAGTTCAAATATCCGGGGGGGGGGGGGGGAATGTTGAAGCTTCGAGTTAATCGACGCAAACTGCGCCGATTTTCACAATATTACAATGTAAGTTAAGCAGCCAAGAAAAGTCACCTTAATGGTTTTATCTTGACTTGCTGCCTTCTCTTCTAGCATCACGGAACCGTCAACCATCGTTAGCTGGTCAGCATCGCCGTGAAGCACTAAAAACGGCCATTCAATCTTGGTCAGGTTTTCTTTGATGTGTTCCATGGCATCATGTATGGCCATCGCCCACCTGGCCTTCAAGCCTCCCTTCCATGCTAAAGGATCATTAGTCAAGATGGCAACCTTAAAACAGAAAAAAAACCAAACACAAAAATGTTAGAGAAAAACAAGCAGTGTTAATCTTAAACCATGCAGTCATATTTTGAGTAGGTTATAAAATAAAATTATATTTCATCCATTCACAAGCAAATCAAACTCTTACGGAGTTGCACGATAACTCTGCGGAAGTTCCATTCAACAAAAGGCGATATTTTGCAATTTTAAAAGCAGAAAAAAATTTCTGTGGTTTGAGACCACAAAAAATTTCAGCTTGGACCAAATTTTTGCAATTCTCTCTTCAGGAACAAAAACATCATATTGCTGCCAAAAAAGGTGTTTTAGCATCACTCAAAGAGGGCTTTTTTGTCTTTTTTTGGCTAAAGGTACTTTCTTAAAATAGTTTACAAAGATCAATACCTGTTCAGGGTCTCGACTGAGAAGGGAGGAGTTTTCAGATCCAATCACTTGAAATGAAGGTACAATGCGTGACACTATTCTACCTAAAAATATCTGTAAAATCAAGAAATCATGTTGTTAGAGTTAAGGTTTACCTAAAGGCGTCCATTACATGGGAATGTTGTAAAATGTTACCTTAATTACACAATCTGTACTCAATCCCATTAGCAGTCTTTTCAGTTTGAACTTATCCCAATTTCTATAGCATGAAGCCACTAGGAGTATTTCAGTCCCTCCCTGGATGAGATGTTGATCCAGTACTGGCTACCCTCCCCTCTCCCCAACATTTTGTCATGCTTCCCTGACAGTTCAGAAGTACTCATTAAAACTCCTAAGGAAGGGAGGGGGGGGGAAAGAAAGGCTATGACTGACGGTTAAGCCACCATTCATGTGGTATGACAAATGAATAAGTAGTTGACTGGAACTGGAAATGAAATAACGTCATATCTATAAGCTCTTATATATGATGCCCTCCTTGATTTACCATTCCACGTGAGGCAGTTTCAGGATTGGCCATAATGGCTGGAGCACTGAGTACAACTCCAGTGAAGAAGTGTGGCCTTTCCATGGCACAAAGGATTGCAACTGTTCCTCCCTGCACAAAGAGGTTAAGAAAAAAAAATCAATTCTAAATTAATTTAGTAACAATCTCCACTAATAACAAAATGAATGGTATCTCTAATCAGGACAGTTTAAAATTAAGAATCAAAGCCATGACACTGTGATGAACCCGTGTGAGAATAAACCATGCAAAATATAATTTGAATAAACAGTCTCACATTGCAAAATATATTTGATACTGAAGGACAAATTTTGACCAGAATCAATAATGCTTGGAGTCTCAAAACAAGGTCAGCTTCACAACTTCATAGTAAACAATTATTCATCAAAGTGGAGGTGGATAGCAGTGGACATTTACCGAGCCCTAAAGCAGCAAGGTAAATATCCACCACTTTTACCAACACTGAGGTGAATAATTGTTTTAGTATATACCACACAGATAAATTCCCCATCTCCTTCCTCCTCCACCTAATCACCTCTAAACTAGACCTTCAATTAAACAGTGGTGGATGAAAACTTGCCATTGAATGACCAAACAGAAATATTGGCAGACCACCATGGTTTACAAGCTTCTCATCCATGTGCTTCAACACATCAGCAGCATAAATATCAAAGGACGAGATCTGCACTGGTTCACCTTCACTCCTTCCATGACCCACTATAAATAAAACAAAACTTTCATGCTGAACTACTCTGCACAGTAGGAATGAGTCAAGTAAATCTCTCTCTTGTCCATAGCAATGTAGCCAAGTGATGGGCATACAAAACAATCTCATCTCTATTATAATTAAAATTAATTAAATCTCATATTTTGCCATTCATGCTGACACTAAAGTAATAGTTGAATTTCTTACGACTGACCCCGGGGGAGAGGATACTTCCTAGTAATTGGCTAATAGGTATGTTTTGCTGGAAAAGGTGGCATTTTCAAGACTGGATTGATTATAATGCGCCTGCATAGAGTTTCTAGAATGGGGTTGCACATTTTTCTGGATTTTGTAGGTAAGATAATTTTGGTAGGCAGGGATGTAAAAATGGGAAGATTTGCAGTTAAAAAGTTATTACTGTATTAGCAAAAGGGTCTTAGATAGGGTCCTTAATTGGCCAAAGAATAGACTATAGTGGGGTGGGGGTTCTGAGAGTCCATAGAGAGAGGGACATAGCCAGGAAAAAATGACCAAAGCAAACTTTCCCTCCCCCCCTCCCAGGAACATATAAACAAGAAAGGCAATTCATTCTTTGCAAATATTTGAAAAATTTACCATGATCATGGGAAATAACAAGGAAGCCTTGTCTGGCTAAAACACTTCCAAATTCTTCATATCTGGAACAATGCTCACCAACTCCATGGCTCACAAATATCAATGCACTAACAAATGCAAAAAAAAACATTGCTACAATCAATCTTGTGGCTGGTTTAGATATTTTCTGGAGCTATGCCAATGAAGAGCTGAATGCAATACCATCCAACTCATATCCTTACTAAAACTTTCCAGCGATTCAGTTACCAAAGGCACCCTGATGCAAAAAAAAAAAAATTTCAATGCTAGGCCTTGTTCATGGATGGATAGATAGCCTGTATTATCCAATCCCTTTACAATGGGTGTACCTTCATTGACCCTTGAAGACTTTGGGCTTTCCAAAGGAAACCTCAGTTGCAAATTGCAGTCAAGTTCTTTACACATGTGTGACATTTTGACCCTGACGCATGTGTGATGTTTTGACTGATGAGCACATGGCATGATGCAATGACAGCAAAAAAAAAGATCTTTGCAATGCAAAATCAGCACAGATACTGTGTATAATATGCTCAAAACGCACCGAGCATTTGTGGTAGACCACACTAAAAGATGTCGACTGTTTTCAGAATGGGTCAGTCCGTGAACCTTATTAGAGACCTCTCTATGAGTCAACATTTATGAGTGAACACAGGTGGCCCAAGCTCCAGCTGTGAGATGATCATCTAACAAAATAAGAGTCATGGCAAAATTATAAGAGTTTGTATGGGAAAATTTATGACTGCTTTTAGGAATACAAAAATATAGTTGAAAAGAACCCATTTTAGTGAGTTAAACATTTCTAGGTTTACTACAAAGTACACCTGGAAATGGATAACTTGCTAAAATGGGTTCTTCCAACATAGTAAGCGGTCAGATAAAAAGCAATGCACTGTGGAAGCAAGATGAGGTATTTTCATTGAGAATTTGACTGTATTTTTGTATTCCAAAAAGCAATCGTAACTTTTCCCATGCAAACTCTCATAATTTTGCCACAACTCTTAGTTCGCATGATGATCATCTCACAGCTGGAGCTTGGGCAGCCTGTGGAGTAAACCTTTCATCGAGAAACATGCTATATCAACTGAGCTATTCAATGTTAATCGAGAGCGAAGCATAAATGCAAATCTCATCGTGTATGTAGACGTGATCATAACCAAGCAGAATACCAATACAAAGTTTGAATAGTTTAAGGAACAAGCTTAAGAGCAGGAAGATTAGAGAATTTGTCTATGCAATTATTCTTTCATGTATACTTATGTCATCTACATTGTACTGTTAGGTAAATGCTAAAAAACTATTAAATAAAAAGAACGTTTAAGTTTAACTGTTGTGAAAGATGAAATATCGTGCCAGTCGATATTTAACATTGTTTTCTTGTAACAAACTAATGTGTTCTAGTAAGAGTGAGGCTCATGTAGCAAATTGTAGCAACTAAAAAAAATCCTGGTTCTCCAATATGTGTTGACCCTAACAAAACCATAGTAGCTCCATATAGTCAAGGTAACGAGTAGTTTTCGGACAGAATGCAGGACAACAATGTGTTGCTATGAGTTTTTGCTCTTTAATTTACAATAACTCACAGGGGATCGGCACTGCAAATGATCTAATACAAATGATGAATATTGGAAACAAATTTTATTCAAGTTTGTCACGATTTGCCAGACAGGCACGAACGCAAATATGCGTCTAGTATTAGAGTAAGTTCAGTCAAAACAGAAAATTCGCTTTACCTTCCATGGCACCCTGACATAAAAGCCTCACAAGACCGATCTTAGCCGTCATAAATCCGTCACCACCCCAAAAAAATAAAAATTTAAATAGCGAATACTTGTTGCTTTTCTACAAAAGAGGATGAGATCGATAAGAATTATGTCCATTGTGACAACTCACCGTGGATTCGAGTCTTTCAGTTTCCAAGATTTGGTAAACAATTTAAAACCCTTTGAGCTTTGAACCGAGCCTTCCTCTGAAATGACCTCACTATCCATGACTTAGACAGGAAAGATGATAACCGTTCGACGAAATCGATTTGCAGTCGACATTGAATGAGGATGGACTAAGTTCCAGTGAAAAAACTGATAATAGTTCCCAGGTTCAACATGGCAAAGGCGAAGCCACTCCTGTACTCACAGGTGGACGAGTGAGCAGCCTACGTGTAGCCGTACCCTTCCCAACAAGGTGAAACGGGGCGTGCGGGAGGGGCGGGGGACGGCTACACGTACGCTAATAAGTGAGTGATTGAAGAAATGTAAAATGGTTTCCGTGTTTACATAGCCTGGTGTAAACACGCGGGAGGTGGCCCACAGAGGACACGCTATCCACTTTTCAAATTTTATCACGCAATGAAATGAAAATATTGCGCGATAAATGGGAAAATTGTTAGGTCTCACGTGATCGGCTGTCACGCACGTTGTTTCCGTGGACGCGGAGACAATGGCTGCAACAGTTGAGGAGGTCAATAGTTCGTTTTACTTTCGTGAC